GTCCTTCAGTTCCTTCAGCACTTTACTCAAAGAGGCCTGCCCTGGACATGCAATCTAGAATGTCCACCCCTACCCTAGCATTACACATACTTTTTGCCTACTTTGTCTTTCCTCCTTAGCCCTTATTGCTATCAACCTTTCAAGTCCATCTCAGAATGTAGGAGAAAAGATGCCCAAGAAAATGCATTAAAAACAAAAACAGCCCCGGCCGGTTTGGCTCAGCGGTTAGAGCGTCGGCCTGCGGTCCAGAGAGACCCGGGTTCGGTTCCCGCTAAGGGCACGTACCTCAGTTGCAGTTTGTCCCCGGCCCTGGTGGTCATGCGGGTGGCAGCCACTTGATGTGTTCCTTTCACATCGATGTTTCTCTCTCTCTCTCTGTTCCTCTCTCTCCCTCCCACTCTACCTGAACAAAAAATGGAAAAATGTCCTCGGGTGAGGATTAAAAACAAAAACAAAAAAAACAAATACAAAACACTCCACGAAACAGGATTTGGCATCATAACCGATAACTAATAAGAGGATGAAATTCTGGCCAAAGTTAGAGTACGTCTAACAAGAACGAGAAAGAAGATGACAGAAAAGTTACTCATTTAAGTGTACAGGGGAATATTCTACTAGTATTTGAAGAGTGAGGAGACAGTCCTAGAAAAATAGTACAAAATTAGATTCTATGCAGGCTATTAGGAGTAGCAAAGAGAGACCATAGAGGAAAATGGCTGAGAGGGCGTATGTAATAGAGTTCAGCGGTAATATGCGAGTTCAAGGGAGAAAATAAACTGGAAATTTCCATGTAAGAACGCAAATACAATGTTAAGAATTTCTAGAGCCTCGGTGGACAGTGTTTGGCAACTGCAACATGGCCATAGAAGGGTGTGCTTTTGCAGATTTGCTGGACCTATGGGACATGGTGAGTCTTAGATATTTATTAACTCAAGAACAGAAGTCCAAAGGGGGCCATGAGAGGAAGTCTAAAGATAAGAAAAGCCAGTAGTAGCAACATGGCTGGACAGAGCCTGATGCTACCCTAACACAGCATAGAAAATATGGATATAAGAGAAATTATTTTCAGTTACCTGGAAATCTGTTACCAGTCTCATGGTTTTTTCTAAAACACAGAACATCTCTAAATTTTTTTTTTTGCACACAAAATTGAGGAAGCAATAAAGGAACTGCTTAAATTTAGACTGAAATTTGATCAACAAGCAAGGAGTCATCAGGATCATAGTGATGAGAAACATTTTAGGAAAAAATACCCATGAGAGCCAAAACTCCCAAGAGCCAAACAAGTAAATGTTGAGTTGTATACTCCGAACTTCTGGAGGCCAAATGAAGGTTCTAAGAAAAAAAGGCCACTGGTCCCATGGTCAGAAGCTGATTCAACAATGTTGACTGAGCACATACTATATGCAAGGCACTGATCTATGGCTGGGAATGCAACATTGAATAAAACCAAGTTCCAGTCCTTGTGAACTTGCAGTGTAGTCAGGGGAGAGAGAAACAAACAAACAAACAAATATACAAATAAATATATAATGTCAAATAGCAGTTAAGTGTCATTAAAAAGTAGAGCAACCTCTTCGGAGAAATAGCTGATTCTAGAGCTGGGGCAGGAAATACACACGATAAGTTAGAAACATTTCGTGGTGCCAGAATGGGAGGAAGTGCTCAAAACCAAAACCAAAACCCACACTCATGGAAGTATGTCAAAGGGACCCAGGAGCACACTGAAAGAGCTCCCGATGGCCAAAGCAGGAATCATTTTAGCAACAAAATATAATAGTATTAAATGACTACCCAAGGTGTAAGATAAATATCTGAGTCCATAGATATTTCTTTTTTTTTTTTCATCCTCACCCGAGGACATTTTTCCATTCTTTTGTTCAGAGTGGGAGGGAGAGAGAGGAAGAGAGAGAGAGAGAAACATCGACGTGAAATGGACACATCGAGTGGCTGCCACCCGCATGACCAACCAGGGCCGGGGACAAACTGCAACCGAGGTACATGCCCTTAGCTGGAACCGAACCCGGGTCTCTCAGGACCGCAGACCGACGCTCTAACCACTGAGCCAAACCAGCCAGGGCTAGATATTTCTCTTATATAAATAAATGAATGAAGAGACAAGTCTCCCATGCAGAAGAATTCCAAATAATTTATGTAGCTAATTCACACTGAAGGAGGTGGAACCTAACTCCCACCCCTTAGGTCCCTTACGTGCAGGCTGTGCACAGGGACTTCCTCCCGAAGCGCCAGGCACAAGGCCCTAGTGTGCGCGCCCACAGTCTCATCCTTGCTCTTCCACCTCCTAGCCGGACGCCTGGGGAAGCCACTTAACTTCGCTCTAACAAGAACGCTTTATCTGTAAGATAGAGATCATTCTAGAACCTGCCTCAGTGCGTTTTTGTGAGGGTTAAATGAGTTCATATATGTGAAGCACTCACATTCCTTTATGTATAACAAGTGCTGCATAAGTACTTAGCTCTTATCCTAGGGGAAGCCAGTGGAGGTGTGAAGCAGCGGAGTGCTGAGGGCCATAGTTATTTCTGTAAGGGACCTGTGTTCTCTGTGGCAAGAGTAGGACTGAGAGGTCAGGGAGGCCAGAGACCAGTGGCTGAGGCCAGAGTGATGGTGGCTCAGACCAAGGCGGTCATCGTGGGGGTGATAAGAAAGAGTCACCATATGTCCGCACTGGCCAATGAATCAGATACAGGGCATAAGCAAAGGGGAGGAGCAACCGTGTCTCCAAGAATTTGAGTTTGAGGAACTGAGTAAATGGTGGTACCATCTTACTGATGTGGAAAACACAGAGCAGAGAGGGTTTTGTGTTTGGTTGGTTGGTTTTTCGTCGAAGGAGGTATTAAATGTTAAGAGAGGAAAGTTTACGTGAAATGAGAAGCTCTTAAGGATCCAACGCTGACAATATAATTATAAATGATTCCAATCTGGGGAAAAGAGGGTACCTCTGAAGAAACGTACGTAGTTACAGGGTTTGTTATTTAATGGACTCAGATATTTTTAAGTAAAAAAGTAGATAGGATGGCATGGAACTATAACCGCACGTTGCACCAATGTCAGTTTTCTGGTTTTGATATTGTATTCTAGTTACGTAAGATGCGGCCTCTGGGGGCTCTGGAGGAAGGCTATTTGAGACCGCCCTATACCATCTTTGCAGCTTCCTAAGAATCTATCATCATTTCACAATAAAATGTTTAAGAAAAATACTATTGTTCAGGAGAAGGAAATAGCAGCTATTTTAGAGGTTTTAGTTGACTACAATACAGATCGATGGTTGGCCAGAGGGAAGAGGTGTTGGGGGGCTGGGTGAAAAGATGACGGGCTTAAGAAGTACAGACTGGTGGTTACAAAACAGTCACAAGGATGCAAAGTACAGCATGGGGAATACGGTCAATAATATTGTAATAACTATGTACGGTGCCAGATAGATACTGGAAATATCAAGGGGATCACTTTGTAAAGTATATGATTGTCTAACCACTGTGGTATATACCTGAATGTAATACAAAATAATACTGACTGTAAACTGTAACTTAAAATAAAAATTTTTTTAATTTCAAAGGACTGCAGTAGTACTTTATTTTGCTCACATCAATCCACATCTGAAGTGGTAAGGTCAACTTCCAGACTGACAAACACACTGAGTGACAGCTAGACAAAACCCCCAGAATTGGACAGCCCTGTCCGATAAAAAATAGTTGAAGGAAGTAAAGTTATTTAACCAAGAAAATTGCAGACTTCCAAGAGACATAACTGCTGTCTTCTAAAACTTGATAGACCTCCCTTTAGCTTCCATCAACTTACACTTTTTCACAAAACCAGAAGTGTTTTTAAAGAACAAAGAGAACCTGTTTTAGCTGCACTAACATTTCTGATTGTTTTTAAAACAACTGAAACAGAATAAACCTAGAACATCAAAATGTTCTTTCAACTGAATCTTATCTGTGATTTTGTTTGGTTTGAAACTGTGTCGTTATTTTAAGAAGTCTCCACTTTATTGTCGCCACCTTCAACCATCTCTTCCTGCAACTATCTCAAGAGCTATTAAGATATAAGATAATATGACTCATACTTAGGGATCAAATGACAGCCTTTCAGATGGGACCAAGAAATTGGATACTAAATGTTTCCCTTGACTGTTAGGGAAGGGAATGCGACAGACACCTTTCCTATTTTTCCATTTTATCTGTGGATAGAACATAATGCTATTAATTTATTAATTTATAGTGTACATTGCAGTGAAGGTCAGACAAAAATTTTAAAAGAAAGAAATTATTTGGCACTTTGCTATAATAAAAGGCTACGAGAAGCATGATAATACAACCCAATGAAAAGAATCTCACACACACAAATTTCCACATTCTGATCATGATAGAGGCCTTAATTTAGCAGTCTCACTATTATGAGCCTATTCAGTTGGCTGATGAAGTTTTCTATTTATGACCCAGCAGAGAGCATGAAATGAGTGTACTGCTTTGGTCAAAACAAAAGGCAAACAAAGTGCTGATCATCATCATGAACAGAGACAAAACAGTGAACATTATTTCTCCTTCATACGCAACCAAATTCTTGCCCCACCTGAAGTGGACAGTGCACGTGGTTCCGGATGATATGGTTCCGGATGCCAGCTGCCTGCGGAGACACACAGGGTGAGGACTCGAGAAAAGAATGAAGCAGAAAGGGGTTTTGCACACTTAGGATGTGCCAGGCTTTATATTAAAAGGACTGTGTTAAGGAGCCTTTATTTGCATTATTTCATGTAAGGCTCATGGCCACCATAAGAAGCGAGGTGATGCTACTATTACTCCCATTTTACAGTTGAGGAAACTGAGGCTTAAAGAGGTTAAGAACATCCAACTAGAAAGTGACAGCAGTGGAATTCAAACACACATCTGTTTTGATTCCACAGACCACACTCTTTGGACATGAAGCATCAGCACTGTGTCCATTCTCCCCATCTTCTTCTAGAGAAGCACAGGTTTGGAAGGTCAAAGACCTTCCCAAAGCCGGCTTGTAGCAGAACTGAGGCTTGAACCAAGGTCTCCTGACTCCTAGGCTAGGTCTTCCTGCTGTGCCACAGGACCACTCGGTCTGGAAGGGTAAAGCTGAACGGGGGTGCCACCAAACTCTAAAAAAATCACAATGGAGAAAATAAACTTAGAATCTTCCAGAACTCCATTGTATAAGAATACCAGGACTAGAAACCATTCTGGAAGTCAGAGAGATGCATTTAGAACAAGAGAAGGAAGTGTAATTGTGCACGCATGGCAATGAACGTGCAGAACTCAATGTTCCTTAGAAGCAGTAGAGGCTGAGAATGAGGATTCAAACAAGACAGATCTTATTTCTCTATTTAACATACTATGTGCTAAACAGTGTTCTAGGTGCTTGTTTTGGGTTATGTTCCCTAAATTCACATGTTGAAGCCCCAACCCCATAACCTCAGAATGTGACTGCATTTGGAGATAGGGTCTTTAAAAGGAGTGATTAAGTTCAAGTGAAACTGTTGGGGTGAGCCCCAATCTATTGTGACTGGTGTCCTTATAAAAAGAGACTAGGACACAGAAAACAACACCAGGGGCACAAAAGAAAAACCCTGTGAGGACAAAGCACAGAGGTGGCCACCTACAAGCCAACGAGAGAGGCCTGAGGAGAAACCAACTCTGCTGACACCTTGATCTGGGACTTCTACCCTCCAGAACTATGAGAAATACATTTCTGTTTAAGCCACACAGTCTGGCATTTTGTTACGACAGCCCTAGAACACCAGTACATTATTATACCATTATACTTCATTAATCCCGATGACATCCTTTTGGTGGAGGAGCTATTATTACCCCCATACTACAAAGGAAGAACCTGAGGCTTAGAGAGGTTAAAAACGTCATGGGTGTCACTCACTAGTAAGTGGCAGAGCTGGGGTAAGTTCATGAGTGACAGAATTCTAATGGATTACCAAAGGAGCCTGGCTCCTGCCTGCAACGTTAGCAAGTAGACTTCCCAAAAGACAAACAGCTCGCACATCATTTTGCTTTTGCTTCTGGACCAGGTAAAGGGAGGCCACAAGCTGTTGTGACAATTTGTGAGAGTTTCTAAAATGTTGAGGAAGTCACCTTTGAATAACACACAATGTAAAATAAAGGTCAGATCATTGAACTGGGCACCAGAAAAACAAAGCTCAAATCCAATCCACAGAGCTCTTCTAACCCCCAGGTATTCTTGAGCAAGTTAAACTCTAAATCTGTTTTCTAATCTGTAAAAAGGAAATAAGATCCGCCTACTACCTGTTGCTTTAGTTACATTAACAATTCATAGCACTCACTGTGCTGAGTGAGAGCTGTCTTTAACACCACTAACAGTTCGCAGTTTCCTTGCATATGACTGGCTCTCAAATGCCTTAGAAATGAGGATGAAGTTCTCAGCATACCATGCAAATGTAAGGCACTGGTTAGCACGGACAATGGCAATGACCACTGTTGCATTTTGTTCAGCCCTGTGTGAAGAAGCAAAGCCATTGGCCCAGGTAGCCCCAGGGAAGGTTGCAGAAGAGAGGGCTGTGGTCTGCTCCGGAGGGAGAGGGTTTAGGCCCTGACCTGACGGCCTGCATCCCTCACCTTCTCCGCTTCTGTCTCTGTGTGACAGTTGTTCCCATGTCACCTTCATCTGTAACCTACTGCCTTGCCCAGGAACCCTTAACGTCAGCCCATCTGTACAAAGAGCAGGAGGGAGCTCTGTAACTGGAATGGAAGCCTTGGTTCATGTCCTTTGCGAGGGGCAGCCCCAAATCCCTTCCCCAAGAGCCATAATGGGTCCCCAGGAATAGAGTCTACCTTGCCTTCCGGCCCGCTGTTCTATCAGGGGAGGAGAGATGCTGTAGTACCCAAAACAAACCCCCGCGAGCACTTTCTCATGGATTCGGAGGGTGTGGAATGAGCCTCGGGCACTCTACCACCCCTGCAGAGCTCATGCTTCTGCTCATTTATTCCTCAGTTCATTCATTCATCAAATGTTTGCTGAGTGCCTTCTATGGGCAAAGCACTGTTCCAGGTGAGCACAACGGAGACAAAGACTCCTGCCCTCATGTAGCTTGCATCATCGTGGGGAAGGGGCAATGAGTAACGTAGATATAACTTGTTAGATGGGGCGTGTTGTGGAGAAAAATACACTAAAGAAAGGAGATCACGGAATGCTAAGACGAAGGCCTAAAGAGGAGAGAGTAGAAGAAGCAAAAAAACAGAAAGAACAGTTTAGGAAGAAGCCAGGGAGTGTGCCTGGCACAGTCTAGAAAGACAGGCCAGCGAAGGGGAGCGGAGCTGATAGTGTGCAAGGTCGGAGTTAACGGAAAGCCATACTGTAGAGAACCTCTAGGCCACTGTAAGAGCTTCAGCTTCTATTCTGAGTGAGAAGAGGAGCTGTTGGGGTTTTGAGAAGAGGCTGATGGGCATTAAACCTTTACAGGATTCTTGCAGCCTTGGGAATAGATGGGGTGGGGGAGGGGAGCACACAAGTGAAAGCCAAGCAGTTGGAAAGCTGTTGTGACGATCCAGGTAAGAACTAGTGATGGCTTGGAGGGATGAGTAGACTAGGTGGGGAGAAGTGACGGGGTTCTGAGACATCAAACCCTCATTTTGGGGGTGCTTGGCTGGATTCGCCTCTAGACATCCACTTGGAGATAAGCAGGTATTTGGATCTATGAGGCTGGAATTCAGGGTCTGTGCTAGCGAAATAAATTGGGAATGATCCTTACAGTTAAGACCTTATAGTCCGGCCAGTGTGGCTCAGTGGTTGAGCGTCAACCCATGCACCAAGAGGTTGCCAGTTCGATTCCCGGTCAGGACACATGCCCAGGTTGTGGGCTTGATCCCCAGTTGGGGGCATGCAGGAGGCAGCCAATTGATGTTCTCTTATTGATGTTTCTATCTCTCTCTTCTTCTTACTTCCTTTCTCTCTAAAATCAATAAAGAAAAAAAATAAATTATAAAAAAAAAAAGACCTGCCCTGGCCAGTTTTGCTCAGTGGTTAGAGCATCGGCCTGCGGTCCAGAGAGACCAGGGTTCAGTTTCCACTAAGGGCACATACCTTGGTTGCAGTTTGTCCCCGGCCCCAGTTGGGGTCATATGGGTGGCAACCAGTTGATGTGTCTCTCTCACATCGATGTTTCTCTCTTTCTCTCTCTCTCTCTCTCTCCCTCTCCCTCCCTCCCTCCCACTCTATCTGAACAAAAAATGGAAAAATGTCCTCGGGTGAGGATAAAAAAAATTTTAAAAAGACCTATAGAAAGTTCCTAAAATTAGATCATACCTATCGTCATCGCACTAGATGAAAACACTGAGGGGGGTACAGGTAGCAGGGAGACAAGGCCCACCGACTGGGACCAGAAGCGTGCCCACCTGAGACATCAGAGAACGGGCAGTTCAAGGGAGAAGGTGGAGGAAAACCAGGAGGAGGTGGGTCCTTCTTTCCCCTCACTGTTCTCTCCAACTCTTATTTTCTTTTTTTCTTTTAATCCTCACCAGAGGACATTTTTCCATTTTTTGTTCAGATAGAGTGGGAGGGAGAGAGAGGAAGAGAGAGAGAGAGAGAGAGAGAAACATCGATGTGAAAGGGACACATCCAGTGGCTGCCTCCCGCACGACCAACCAGGGCCGGGGACAAACTGCAACCGAGGTACGCGCCCTTAGTGGGAACCGAACCCGGGTCTCTCTGGACCGCAGGCCAGCGCTCTAACCGCTGAGCCAAACCGGCCAGGGCTCCTTTTCATTTTTGCTCCAGCTCTCACTTTACCGCTCTCGGCATCACTTTTGGGTAAATAAAGAAGTTTTCTATCAAAGTGCATAAGCCAAAATAGATATTTACCAGGTAAACACCACCCTTTAATTGGGTAATTCTTCCACGAAGCTCGCAGGCTGCTGTTCAGTGCATAGTTGCAACACGCGGCTCAGCCAGAACATCCAGTTACCCAGCTCCGTGGGCTCCCAGCCTGGCAGGTGGTGCTGAAGGTATTTGCATTATTGTTGCTATTGCCATTGTTCGGGGACACTTTGGCCCTTGCCGCGCCCGCCCTCCTTCCTTCTCCCACTCCCCACCCCCAGATCCGGAGGGCAATGAATGCTCACATCATTTCAGTGTGGTCCAGCTGCCAGGCTGGGGAACAGATGTTGTATTGTTATCACAAAGAAAAAACAAACAGCTCCCTCCGCTGTATTCTACCTCCCCCTCCACCCCCGTGTCAGCCCCCCGGTGAAAATGGGCAAACAGTGTTGGGAAGGGAAAAGGATGGGGCTCTACTGAGTAATGCCATCCTCCCCGGCCAAGGCTGAGCCCTGACCAGAGGCGCACAGAGCGTCCTCCCGGACCCTGTTTACAGCAGACTCGGGTCTGTCAGCTGAGAGGCTGGCTCGTGGCTGGTGACGCGAAGACGCTCACACTGAGTGGAGCATTGAGAGAAAGACAATGGCCCCCTTGTGCATGTGGCCCCAAAAACAAGTCTACCTGCATCGGATGGGCAAAAGCCAGGACCGGAAGACAAGCCGGGGACAGCAGGAAAGGTTCCTTAGCCGAGGTCTATCTCTGCCTGTTTGCGCCTTCCTCATCCGGAAGCTGAAGAACTGGGAACGGGGGTCCATTTCTTCTCTAGAGACCCCAAGTTTAGATTCCTCTGCCTTTCTTCCACTTCTCCTACAGACTCTTTCCTCGAGTCGGGGCCTGTGGGCGCGGTAGGGGTGGAATGAGCCTGAGAAGGGCAGAGTGAAGGCTGGAAGTAAGCTGGTGCGTGGACATGAGGCGGCCCAGTGAGGACAAGCGGGGCCTGTGGAGCCCACGGGGCCTGTGGAGCCCGCAGGGCCTTGTCAGCCAGGCTGTCGTTGGACCGTCCCTTGCATTTACTAAGCTGCAACGGAATGATCTCAGGAAGGAGAGGGACAGACAGGAAGCGAGCACACAGCCCTGTGAGGCTGCTGTAGCGGTCTAGGTAGCAGACAGCAAGAGCCCGAAGGTAGCATTAGAATTAGCTCAATTGCCATCAATGAAGCAAAATCAACAGGGGCAGGAACCAGTCAGGCCTGGCTGAGGATGACCAGGACAGCAGTAAGAACTGACTTAGTGGTTCTAGTCCCTGAAAAAGGTCATGCCAACCCACCCTCCTGGATACATCATTCGAAATAATGGTATTATCCAGCCATAAAACAAATACAAACAATTCCAAAAAGTTGTCTGTGTTATTCTAGGATGGCTACTTTGATACATTTTTAAAGCATTAAATTCTTTCAAAATGATTTTTGGGCTCATTTTTTTCCTTGGTGTTTCAAGCAGGTGCCTTTTGGGGCTTATTGGATAGCCTACGCCGGGAAAGGGTCCGGAGTTCACGCGCGGGGCACTAGGCGACAGCCTGTCTCCACCAAAGAACAGATGCAGGAAGAGCAGCCTAGGAGGCAGATTGGGAATGAGCTCAGCCTGGGACTGGGTGTGCGAGTCTGAAGTATCAATGGAGACAGACACTGCCAGAGGCAGCTGGTTGGGTGAGTCTGGAGTGGGGACAGCAGACCTAGGCATCGTCAGCACTCATGGGACAAGGGGCAGGGGAGAGTCATGGGAGAGCATTAGGTCATCCAGGGTGAATCTGTGGAGGGACAGGGGAGAGGGCCCAGAGTGAAACCTACAGAAAATTGGCATTTTAGGGGTTGGGCCGGAAAAGCGGCCTATGGAGGAATACCCAGGAGGACTGAAGAAAATTCAGGAGGAAGCAGAGTCTCAAAGACTAAGGACCAAAGGAGTGTCAAGGAGGACAAACAAAGAGTGTGAAATGCTATTGACTGGCCGTCAGGTAAAGGGTGCACAGGGCTGAGGAGCACCCCTGTGTGTAACATCAGAGATGCCTGTGGTGGACCTATGATCGGGAGCGATTTCTGGGGCGCATCATATGTGGAAGGCTGAGTAACTAAAAGGAGGCGATGAGTTTTCATTGTTAGTGTTAGCTCAGAGCAACGGTAGGTTGAGGGAGCACTCTATGTAAAGATGAGAGAGAACACATTAATACCAGGCAAATGCGTAAGACCCACCAGAATTGGGGGGAGGAGGAGGAGTTTTAGGGGAAGACTTTTCTTGGCACCAGCTGCAGGTGGCAGAGTCAGCTGAGGCAATGATTTTGTTAGGCTTGGATGTGGCGTTCTGGGACGATGAGCGCTTCCCAGGCAGCTGCCATGCTCTGGCTAGTGCAGTCACTGCTGCGGGCATCCGGAAACAACAGCTCAGGAAGCTCAGTGCCTCACAGAAAGAGAAACTGAGGCCAGAGGCCACCGACCTACAGCGCGACACACCCATTGTGCTTGCCCTACACCATGCTTTCGCAAAACTGAGCCATAGCTTTTTAAAAATCACATAAAAAGCCCGTCTGGTGTGGCTCAGTGGTTGAGCATCGACCCATGCACCGAGAGGTCACTGGTTCAATTCCCGGACAGGACACATGCCCAGGTTGTGGGCCCAATCCCCAGTGGTGGGGCATGCAGGAGGCGGCCAATCGATGTTCTCTCTCATCGATGTTTCTATCTCTCTCACTCCCTTCCTCTCTCTAAAATCAATAAAGAAAAAAAATTTTTTAAATCATATAAAAAGCTGACTATCTGGATTCTCTTGGAAAACTGGGAGACATGACCCTTGACCTGCATTCCCACCAGAAAGCAACCGACTGGAGTGAGGGTGAGGCTGCCCATTAACGACAGTGCCCCTTCCCCAGTTCCCTCCAGACCCAGAATTCTCTACACTGATCGCGGAGCAGACTTCATTCACAAATGCCTAGCCTTTGGGGAGCTCTTGTGCTTGTGACTAGACCCAAGAACAATCTAAGTCATGCATTAATACGTGCTAGGGAAGTCAGTAGATTTAAACAGCTGAGCAAAGGTTCTTAGACTTGGTCTTGACAAGGAGTTAAGAGTAAGAACAGGTGGTTGGATGCACAGAGCCAAGAGTAAAGAACATCACCCTTGGGTTCAGTGATGGACTGGATGCCTGGCACAGCAGGCCACGGCTGGACTTGAGCGAGCACAGACACCGCACCTTTCATTTCAAATCTGAAGCCTTCTCGTTTTCAGAGCAGAGAGAAGACACGTCAACGTATTTGCAGACAGTGTTGTCTATCATTTCTTTACTCCCACATAACTGTCCCGTTGCAGAGAGCTTTCTAATACCAGCATCAATCATGTAGTGATATTGCAAGAAGCTGCTCACTTGAAAGTCAAATACAAAGATCATATAACATTAAAATTTTGTATCTATACAATCACCCCACTCTTGCTTGGCACAATTGTATCGATTCTGTGGGTAGTCATAATATCCAAGTAATCTTCCCTTTTCTCTTTTCCAGCTGGTTGTTTGTGCCCATCCCCAAACAGGGTGTGCTCTTCAGGCTCAACGTGTTGAAGTTCCAACCGTTCAGCCAGCTCCAAGGTTCGGACATCTGAAATGACTTCAAAGAGGTAATCACTTATCAATCCCTTTGATGATTTCTCAAGTTCAAGAATCAAACAACAATCAAACTAACAAAAAGTCACTCTAAACAAAAGAGTTTGAAAAACATTGAACTTTTACCATACTAATTAATTGACCCCTGTATCAATGACCTGGCCATTGTACTACATTTCCTGTCTCCCGAAAATGACCAGCCAGCCCTGGCCTGTTTGGCTCAGTGGTTAGAGCATCAGCCTGCGGTCCAGAGAGACCGGGTTCGGTTCCTACTAAGAGCACCGCACCTTGGCTGCAGTTTGTCCCCGGCCCTGGTTGGGTCATGTGGGTGGCAACCACTCAATGTGTCCCTTTCGCATCGATGTTTCTCTCTCTCTCTCTCTCTCTCCCTCTCCCCCTTCCACTGTATCTGAACAAAAAGTGGAAAAACGTCCTCGGGTAAGGATAAAAAAAAAAAAAGAAAATGACCAGCTATGTGTGTAAAAGCCCACTTGCCACCTGACGACCTCCTAAAATGCAGCCCACCAGTGGATAAACTTCTCTCTTAAATAAGAACAGACAACTAGGAAGTATCAGATACTTAAGAAAACCCTCCAACATGAAAGATGGAGATAATAAGACGCAATAATAAAACAACCTAAAGGAAGCAGAAGCAATTCAGAAATAGAAAATGACCATGCATATATCATTGGTATCATTAGTATCTTCAGAGAGAGAGGAGAAAGTTTATATCCATGAAAATAGAGTAAGATGCAAAAACAACAAAAGAAACCATGTAAAAGTTTATTGTAAAAATATAATCAACTCAGTGGGAGATACAAAAAATTAAGTTGAAGGAGTCTCCCAAAAGGTATAGAAAATATGCAAAGTGATGGATTAAAAGATTTTAAAGCCCTAGCCAGTTTGGCTCAGCGGTTGGAGCATTGGCCTGCGGTCCAGAGAGACCCGGGTTCGGTTCCCGCTAAGGGCATGTACCTCAGTTGCAGTTTGTCCCCGGTCCTGGTTGGGTTGTGTGGGTGGCAACCACTCGATGTGTCCTTTTCACATCGATGTTTCTCTCTCTCTCTCTCTCCCTCCCACTCTATCTGAACAAAATAAAAAATTTTTTTTAAAAAAGTTAAAACAAAAAAAAAATATTTTAAAAATCAGAGAATCAATCTAGGGAGTTATTTTCCTGACCAATAACAGTTCAAAAAAGAAAATAGGAAAATGATAGACATTATTTAAATAATAATAATGATACAAGAAATTGAAGAATATAAAGTTGCAGACAAAGGCCCACCAAGTGCACAATATAATGAATTAAAAAGGACTCACACTGAAGTATATAATCGTGGAAATTTAACATCCTAGAGATAAACAAAGGCTTCCATGGGGAAAAATAGGGTGCAGACCAAAAATGGGGAATAAGAATAGCAGTAGACTTCCCAACTTTAGCTCTAGAAATTAGTAGGCCAAAAACAAAATTGTTTTTTTGAAGCAAAATTATGTTCACATATTTCCAACTAAAGGTCCCGAAATGTGAGCATAGAATACAGGGATTTTCATGCAAGCACGATTTCAGAATATGTAATGCCTAGGTACCCTTTCTCAGGGATTCTTAGAGAATGTGCCCTCAACAAAATGAGGTATAAGTCAAGCAAGGGAAAAGCGTGAGATCCAAGAAATAGATGCAACGTAAGAGAAAGATGAAGGAGATTCCTGGACTGTGACGGGAGGTCCCATGTGGACAGGTCTGCAGCTGGTCAGGAGAGCAAGCCAGAGAGGAGCTGGAGGACAGAGGCTCCAGAAAAAAAACGGAGCTGGACACACAGCAGGCTTCAAGAGGAATGGGAAATGCCCTCCATCCCCCGCAGACACCTGGTGTGACCACAGGGAAATTTGTAAAGAGAGGACGTCAAACGGTGTCGGGGAATTTAGCCAGAGATACAAAGTAACTGACAAAAGAAGAGAATGAGGGACATGGGGAAGGGGTGGGGAGGAGGAGGAGGCAGGCAATCCTGAACAATCTGAAAAAAACAAAAGGTTGAAGTCATATCCACCACTCGGCTTAGCGTGAACAATCTGTCCGTGGTCATGAGACTCTAAACACTGGATGTTGTTTCTAATTCTCTGTTGGAGAAAGGCGAAGCATGAGAGAAAGAAAAGAGGATATAAAAAAATCTTAACTCTCATCCATGGGAAAAGTAGTGTTAAATGATTAATCTAGTGACGGCAGTAAGAGGGCATATTGTTTTAAAATATGGAAGCACATGTCACCAGAAAGAGCTAAAAGACTTGAATCAGTTGCTTCTGGGGAGCAGGGTGTCGGGGAGGTGGTCAGGAGGCTGCCAGACTGCTGTGTGACCTGTTTTTAGCACATTTGACGTGTCTCAACAGGGCCTATGTCACCTTGATCAGAATTTAAATGAACGTGCCATCAGAAATAGCCCCCAAACAGTTTTAGAATAACTATGCACCTACCAAGGTGGGTACTTGGAAAAACGACAACTCACTCGGATGCATCATTTGTGCATGTGACATTTCATGGAGCAGTTACCGACCTGGAGTTGTGGCTCTCTCTGCCCAGTCACCTGCGCAGACAAGACTTGCCCGGAAAAGGACAGTAAATGAGTAAGACAAAAATAGGTGTCTGTGCTGGATGCGGATATTTTTACTGTCTCCTGTAAGCCTACTATGTAAACATCTATGACAGAAGTGTGAATTTTGCCCAGTGTCGAAACTAACAACTAGTTCTCAGACTCACTTAGAGAGGTCTAGACAAAGCTATAGAAAAACAGCGAAATTTGCCAAGTTGCTGAGATTTACAGTATCTCCTTCCAACAAAAACTCTCAGCTAGTTAGTCGAAATAAAATGTCCTCCCCAGAGGCACTAGAATGCTTCATCCTGGAAGGTGAGCGTTAGAAAGGACCTCAAAACTCATCCAATCCAACTCTCTCATGAGAGCCAGAGAGGCAAGGGTCTTACCCAAAGCTCCCCAGCTCACTGGCATCAGAACCAGATCTAGGATCGTGCGTGGGACTCCATAAACCTGCCTCAGAGTTGGCTCTGTAGCCTTCAAGACAGACACGGATGAGGTTCTGAACACAGGAGTAATTCCGAAACCTATGATTCCTTCCCCTACTCCGCACTGCCTCATAAAGCAACAATGAAAGGAAGTCTATGAAATCCATCAAGTCAGAGGCTCACCTCTGCCTGAGGTGCCAACCTTTAGGGTGTAGACAGTCCATGCATTCAACAGTGGCTTACTGAGCAGTCACTGTGTCTGAGGGATTTCCAAGTAGAGGTGTCGAGTGGACAGGTGGCTACTGAGGTCTGAGAAGAGATGTTTTAGAGCCATCGACATATAAGTGGTGATTGCTGTCGTATTGAAGAATAAGGTCGCCCACAGAGAATGCGGACACAGACAAAATCCTAAGGGATGCCAGCCTAGGACAAGAACAGGAGAAGACAAGGAGCTCTTGAAGCCTACACCTCTCTTTGAATAACTTTCTCGAACTGAGGTATGAGATGCTCATTGTTTGTCTTCCTCTCAGGTGTTACACATGCGCTACAAGCACGTGTGGCCAATGTTTGAAGTGAAAGGAGGAAGTGAGAGAATGTAAGGGTGAGCAAAAGCACCTGAAGTTCATCCTGGAGAAGCTATTTCTGGACTTCCTGCAGAAAAGTAGGCTGCTGCACACCCTGCCCGCACCCTAACACCGTTGCTGCTAGCACAGGTCCCAGTGGGTCCCGGGGAGGACAGGTGTTTTCTGGAAGGTCAGCAGAAGGCCACCCGCCCCTCTGCTAAGTGGACTTCGTCCAGATCAGACCCGGGCTGCTCAGAGCCATGTAGTATAAAGGTTGGGCAAATATGCACTTTCTCTGCTGAGGGCACAGACCGAGGAGACATGGGATATGACCGGAAAGCTTATCACATGCCAGAAGCAAAGGCAAAGAGGCAATAGCATCCACCTCTCGCCCAGTTAAGTGAATTTCTCCGAGAAATGTCATTTTGAAAACAAACACACACAAAAGAGAACTTCAAAGTAGGAGAGTGTTGAGTTGGCCTAGAAGGGGTGATGGTTGATTGGTAGCTTTTGATTGGCCCAAGATCTAGAAAGTTTTATCGGCAAGGAGCTTCTGGTCTTGTCCCCCATGTCCCAGCCCCACCAGGCCCCCCACGGAAGCCCTCCCTGGCTGGGATTGAAAGTCAAGTTTAAACACATGCAGCGGGCCCTGGCCGGTTTGGCTCAGCGGTTAGAGCGTCGGCCTGCGGTCCGGAGAGACCCGGGTTCGGTTCCCGCTAAGGGCACGTACCTCGGTTGCAGTTTGTCCCCGGCCCTGGTTGGTCGTGCAGGTGGCAGCCACTCGATGTGTTCCTTTCACATCGATGTTTCCCTCTCTCTCTCTTCCTCTCTCTCCCTCCCACTCTGTCTGTACAAAAAATGGAAAAATGTCCTCGGATGAGGATAAAAATAAATAAATAAATAAACACATGCAGCGGAGAAGAAAGAGCCTGGGCTTCAGAGCTAGGCAGCCTGTTTAACTCAGACTTTACTCATTATTATCAATATGACCTTTTGAGAGTATGTCAAGTCAGTAAGTCTCAGTTTCTTTGTCTCCAAAATGGGGATGATACATACCTCAAAGGATCAAACGAGACGATATTTACAAGAAGGTGCCAATACCTAACAACAAGTGCTCCCTGGCCTTCTACTTCCTCCTGCTCAACTTACCCTGAGAGCCACCCTTGAGTGAGTAAGAGAATACTTGGTCTTGGCTCCCTCCAACTCCTTGCAAATTAGACA